AACAGTGTACTAGAGGTCTCTTTTCTCCACACCCTCACCAGCACTTGTTATCTCTTTGGTTTTTGATAACCATTCTAACAGATATAAATTGATGTCTCACTGTGGTTTCAATTTGCATTAATATTTCCCCAGGTGCCGCTAGTGGTAAAGAACCTGCCTGCCAATGCAGGAGAAGTAAGAGACATGGGTTCTATCCCTGAGTCAGGAATATCCCCTGGAGAAGGAAATGGCAAGCCACTCCATTATTCTTGTCTGGAGAATCCCATGGATGGAGGAGCCTGGCGGGTTACAGTCCATGCGGTGAAAAAAGTCAGACATGACTGAAGGGACTTAGCACACACATTGATTAGTGACGTTGAATGTTGAGCACCTTTTCATGACTTGCTGCTATTTGCATGTCTTCTTCCGAGAAACATCTGTTCACATTCTCTGCACATTTTTACACCAAACTGTTTGTTATTCAGTTTTTGAGTTCCTTATATACTTTTATATATACTTGTACTAAGGCCTTATCAGATACATGACTTCCAAATATTTTCTCCAATTAGATAGTTTGGCTTTACATTTTGTTGATTGCTTTTGTTGCTGTTTTTGCTATGCATAAACTTTTTAGTTTGATGTAGTCCCGTTATTTTTGCTTTTGTTGCTTCGGCTTTCAGTGTCATATCCGTAAAGTCATTACCAAAACCAGTGTCAAGGAACCTACAATCTTTAATGTTTCTTCTAGGAATATTGTGGTTCTGGTCTTATGTTTAAGTCCTTAATCCTTTTTGAGTTCATTTTTGTGAGTAGTATAGAATAGGGGTGTGATTTCTTTCTCTTGCATGTGAATATCATTATTTCCCCACCTTAATTTACTGATCAATTATCCTTTTCTTATTGAATATTCTTGTCTTCCTTATTAAATATTAGTTAAACTTACATGTGGTTTTACTTCTTGACTCGATTCTGCTCCACTTGTCTATATGTCTGTTTTCACGCTAGTAGCATAGCTTTAATTGCTATGGCTTCTAATCAAATGTTTCATTATTTATCTATTTACCAAAAAGTATGTATTATTTTATATATGTCTATTGTTTTGTATTCTAAAGATGATAAAACTATTATAATTAGAAAAATAAAATTATTTCCATTTTGAAAGGTAATTATTGAATATGGTTTCTCTCTTTATGCTGGGTTTCAGTGCATTCATGCAAATGATTTTAAAATGGAGATGTATCATTTCATATGTAACTAGATTATGAAAGTTTAGTTAATTTTTATCTCTTCATTGTTTATATTCTGTTGTTAAAATGTTTATGCTTAATTATTTACAGAAACCTCAAACACTATTATAAACTTAGTCTAAATCTCCTTCCAACTAGCACTGTTTTGTCCCAAATCCACAAAAATAAAGGAGGCAAAAAATGTTCTAGCTTTTCATGCCCTGGGGTTTCTCTCAATCTCTTCAAACCATAAAGTCTCTTTTGAAATTTTTTACTTCAAAGATTAAGACTGCTCAAGTTATAGTCACACTCTACAGATGAGGTGAAGTTTTTTTTTTATTGTCATTACTGTTTTAAGTCATGCTGAACTAAAAAAATTCCTTAAAAATCAAGGCTTTTTTTTTTCTTTTAAACTACCAAGCTGATATATAGATTTAGATGAGAGTATTTTATGGTGACTGTAGGTATGTGCATTTATCTGTGTGCGTGTGTGTGTATGTGTTCTAGGGTAGTGTACATGTATATGTGCTTTGTGAGTATATAAATACATACCTTATGCTGTATGTCTGTGTATCCAAGTCTTGTAATGAATATGTATGTGTGCCTATGTGTATCTTGTGTGTGGTATACTAAGAAAGAATGTCTAAAAATGCAGCATCTACAATTTAAAATTAAACAATATTTAAGTTTACCCACTTGCAGATAATACCATGGATAATAAAATGGTCTCAATTGATCAAGTTTATAAGTTTATAAGATAATTACATTTCTAAGAACGCTGGATCCAATGTACCATGAGACCGAAGCCCAAATTTTGATAAATGGATTTCATGCAAAATTTTTCACTCTAAGATGTTAAAAATGAAAAATAAAATGCTTAATTTTATTCTACAGCACCTCAAAGCTGCTTTCTTCAAACTGTTTCATTTCTTCCTCAAACTGTTAAGTCAACCGTAACTCTACAGAACAATAAAATATGTTCACGGTTTTAAAAGTGGCTAAATGTCCAAGAGATATAATGCTGAAAGCTGAAGAACATATTAGATTTTAGGTTATTATTATTAATCTTCTCTTGGTTGTTTGAAAATTTTAGAAGTCTTAAAAGAAATAAGAAATAATTGCATAAATTTTTCCTATCTTTTTTAGCTAGTTTCTTTCTGCATTTTCTTTTCCCATTTGTTTTTTATTCAGGTTTACAAAATGTAAAAGAAAGGACTTTTAAAATAACTAAATGAGTCAAAGAAGGTTTTTCTCTGATTCTTTTATTTTTTCTTCAGGTTTTATTTTCATGGTTAAGTCTCATTTTTGAAAGCTAGTAATACTATTGTTTTATTTTAAATTTGTTTTGTTTTTTCCAAAAACAAAATTTTCAAACAGTGTACTAACAATTTTTTCAAAAACAAAAATTTCAAACAGTGTACAAAGAATTTCAAAGTGAGAGAACATGAGAGTATAACTCTGACTTAGAGAAATATTTATGTTAGTGTTGAAAAATATTCTATTTTACTTCCCTGGATAAGCTACTTTGTCTGGGGCATGTAGAAAAACAGATATAGTAATATGGGATAAAAACCTTAGGTATTTCAGAAAAAAAGAGCAAGCTTTCTGTCAGGAATCAGAAATATATAAAACCAAGGAAACAATTTAAGCTCAATAAAAGGATGAATCTCATTCAATGTGGATATACATATTTTGATATATAATAAGATTTTATATTTCTTGATTCTATGAGGAACAAAATAATATATAAGAATTTAAGTTCACTCAAAACAAGAATTTCATGTTGCAGTCATGTTGAAATAGGTCTATTTTCTCTGGAAAATAATTTAAGTATCCAAGAGAACTAAAGTGTGAATTCCTCACAAATTATAAGCTATATTTTATAAAAATTGCTAACCTAAGCTGCCTTAAACCCTTTCTGGAACAAGGTGGGATACAAATAAATAATTAACTGACCAAATAACCTGGTAAATTTAAGTCATGTTAACTTCAGGCTGGAATCAAGATTGCTGGGAGAAATATCAATAACCTCAGATATGCAGATGACACCACCCTTATGGCAGAAAGTGAAGGGAACTAAAAAGCCTCTTGATGAAAATGAAAGAGGAGAGTGAAAAAGTTGGCCTAAAGCTTAATATTTAGAAAACTAAGATCTTGGCATCCCATCATCTCATGGGAAACAGATGGGGAGACGGTGGAAACAGTGTCAGACTTTATTTTTTTGGGCTCCAAAATCACTGCAGATGGTGATTGCAGCCATTAAATTAAAAGATGCTTACTCCTTGGAAGGAAAGTTATGACCAACCTAGATAGCATATTAAAAAGCAGAGACATTACTTTGCCCAACAAAGGTCCATCTGGTCAAGGCTATGGTTTTTCCAGTGGTCATGTATGGATGTGAGAGTTGGACTGTGAAGAAAGTTGAGTGCAGAAAAATTGATGCTTTTGAACTATGGTGTTGGAGAAGACTCTTGAGAGTCCCTTGGACTGCAAGGAGATCCAACCAGTCCATCCTGAAGGAGATCAGTCCTGGGTGTTCATTGAAAGGACTGATGCTGAAGCTAAAATTCCAATACTTTGGCCACCTCATGCAAAGAGTTGACTCGTTGGAAAAGACCCTGATGCTGGGAGGGATTGCGGGCAGGAGGATAAGGGGATGACAGAGGATGAGATGGCTGGATGGCATCACCGACTCGATGGGCATGAGTCTGAGTAGACTCCGGGAGTTGTTGATGGACAGGGAGGCCTGGCATGCTGCGATTCATGGGGTCACAAAGAGTTGGACATGACTGAGCAATTGAACTGAATTGAACTTCTTAAGAGTTAACCTTTTTGTTAATGTGTCCTGTACTATTCATTAGGATGTTTAATGAACTTAATCATTATGTATGTATATCCTTGTGATTATTCTGATGTTGAGATCAAAAAAGCAAGATGACTTCCTAACAGACAAATAAGGAATGAAACTTTTAAAAAGGACTGATCTATCATGACCACAATAAGAATATGCATTTGTTAGCAGATCATTTGAATTTGAAGTATTTTTATTTTATATTTATCATAAGTAAATCAGTACTATATTCATAGTATGTCACCTATAGGATGTAGAAGAAAATATTACTAAGAAGAAAAACAGGGAAGAAGTAAGTATTAATCATTAGAATATCAAAGTATAAGATGGGAATGGCTTAATTATGTACTCAAAAAAACACTATTTGCTTCCGTGTGACAAATAAATGATGGAAAAAATAATATGCAGTAAAATAAATGAAAAAAAGAAAACTCCATGCCTATAAAAACAAATTTATGAAATGAACTTTCTTCTTGAATGGCAAACTTTTAGAAGAGCATTGTTACATATTTCAAAAGAAAATGTCCTTTTTTTCCCCACCACCTCTAAATAGCAAATATTTTGCTTTTCTATGTCACCAAATTCACTGAAACAAAAAGTAAACAGAAAATTTTAAAGTGGATTTCCACAAATTGATTGAATTTGAGGAGGCACCTGGGATGCCTATTAAATATTTAGATTCCCAGGTTCCACTTACACCTGTTGACTCTAAATCTCTACAGGAAGTTCTTAAGATTAGGCAAGATTTGAGAACATGAAATGCATAATGAAAACATGCAATATGTTATAAAAGTCACCCTTCTGATTGTTTTATACCAACCTTTTTTAAGTGTTGAGAAAAAAAGGACAAACCTGACCTATCATTTTTAATTGTTTTATACAATGTAGAATATAAAAGAAATGTTTAAAGTTTCTAGGTTTTATTATCTGGGTAATGTACTTACTACAGTTTTCAGCTTTTCTGTTGTCCCGAATCACTATCCTTTGGTTGACTGTGCTGAAGAGTGTTGTCCAGTTAATGGTATGGTAATAGCACAGATTGCTGTTGTCAGTGATGTAGATGTTCCCCGCACTGATTTCTTTCAAGGACTGGAACTGTAGAGAAGTGATGCCCTGTTGCTTGAGGATCAGCAAGGAAAGTCCACTAAAGAGAGGGGAGGGGAAAAAATGAAACGACAGTAATTGTTTTCTGGCCATGACATGCATTCCTCAAGTAAAATAGGTTGTCGTATCTTACTCCACAAACAATGTTAATAGAGCATAAAAAAAGATTAAATAAATAAACCTGTAATCCGAACAGTATTTCTTTAGAATGCTATACACTGACACTTTCAAAAGTAATCATTTGACCCTCCCCTCAAAAAAGCCCATCTTTTAGAAATATGAGTATCAGTGATATCTCTATTTCTGTCTACATATGTACCAGTGACATATTTACTCACTGCCTTTCTCAATCTTAAATTCATTAAGAATGAAATCCTGGATTAAGACTAAATAATTAAATACATGTTGATAGGGCGATTGTTCACCTATCCAAAATAAGGTATTAATTCTACTCTATTAAATAAATTTAGACACACTTTCAGAGGGTACATATCACAGAGAATGACTATGGATATTTAGCTTTGATTTATACCTCAGAAACCAAAATATAATTATAATAGTTGAAAAATATATACAGATAGAAGATGTCAAAAATTAAAGAGAAGAATAAAATTAAACTAAAATTAAAAACAAATACTCAGAAGGCTTGGATAAATTAGAAAGCATCTCTAAAAGTTAAGTAACAACTATACTGTGGAAATAAATTATCATTTCAAGGATGCTGTTTTCATTTCAACATGGTCAACTTTGTAATTAAATTCTTTCTTCATTCTCTAAAGAATAGCTGTTTCCCAAATCTCAATCAACTTATGAACATTATTTTATATTTTAGAGATCAAAGCTGTCCCCTTTTGCTTCCTTATAAATCTAAATTTGCTTTACTTTTAATACTCAGATTTTTTTCATGTATTTTATATATATATATATATAAATGCAAGATGAACTATAATACACATTTATATAATGTGTGTGTGTACCGAACTGGGAAGTAATTTACCCTCTCAATTCTTTTCTTTTTTTTCCTCTCAATTCTTTCTTCCCATCATGACCACCCCTAATTGTTGATTACAACATGAGCATAACAATGCCTTGACTTAGATTTATAATATTTTATTCAATGGATAGTAAAAATTGGTTCCACATAGCACTATCCTTTTTTATTACATTTACATTTTAGAACCTCTTACAGATATACCTATTTTAATTCAATAGACTTTTGGTAACTATAATTACAGAGTATTTGATGACAGTATTGATTTTTGACATCTTTCAGATTTAAGTAGAAAAATTAAGTCTAAGTCACCTGATATAAATCAACTTTTAACTGTTCAGAAATAACAATTTCATGCAGATGAATTCTAAAGTAAAATAAAAGCAGTGGCTTACTAAATAAAACATTTTTATTATATGAATAAAAATACTGACATTAGAACTTTAGAACAACAAAAACTTCTGAGCCCTGATTTTCTGTCCATTATTAACCAGCACTGCATGTAGGGTGGAGAACCAATTTCTAAAACATCAGTGCTGTGACGCTTTGTCCAAATGATAGATTCAGATACCAAATGAGAACTTCCTGGTATAACAGCATTTGTATCCCATATATCGATGCCATTACCAAGTTACTCAACTCTATCTTTTAATTATGATAATATATGATTGAAAAGAAGTTACTGTTTTATGTTTCGCATCATGTACTCCATACCTGTCAAACATTAATATTACTTTAATATTACATATATACCTACCTATAGAGTACTCTTCCACCAATGGTTACCAAGTTAGAAAAAACACTGAAGTCGGTCATGTTTGGAGGCCATGACTGTATGTTCAAGAAACCTACAAACCATAGGTGTAACAAAAATTCAGAATGTCATTGTCTTAGTAACAGTGTTTAATACTAATTATTCTGGAGATATGATGAAAATGGAAGGCAAGAAAAGGACAAAAAATATTCCTATTTTTGAACCATTCTATCTCATGTTTTTTCTTCCAAGATTCAATGTCTTACCCAAAGTTTCTGGACTGCAATCCTCAATAGATAATGAACGTCAAAATAATGAACATGAAGAATGAATGTTTTTCAGACATACAGAATCATATCACTGTATAGTATAAAGATTTAAATGATTCTTAATTGGATTCATTCTTTTAAAAGCAAAGATATTTAGTCTAACTAGATATATAGAAAAATATTGCTTCAATTTCCCTAAAATCTTTTGCCATCTTCTCTGTACATTTACGACCTCAGCTGTCTGTCTTGCATCCTGAAATTTATGTTTATACCTAACCCTCCTCACTTGATTTTATATTCTTTGATAGCAAGCTCATTCCTAATTCATGTCTATAGTCCCCATATCAACCACTCTGACAGTGCTGAAAACATCAGATCCTCAATAAACATGTGCTAAATGAATCCTACATGTTACTCATTTTCAACAGTACTTGTGAAAATTAAATAGGAAAAAAAAATGGGTTCAAAAACCCACTGACATTTTCAAAAACAGTAACATCAAAATTTCCAGGGTATTTTATTTTTCTAGTTCCACAGTTTTCAAAATGTGCACAAATGCTAAGGAATTAAGACATTCATCATTTTAAATAATGCTTTTCTTAAAACTAGAATTTGCTTTGAAAATTCCAACACTATGTAATATTTTCAACAAAACACTAAAATTCCCATAGTTCATAACACAACAAACTCACACAAAAAATTACCTGTTATCTCTCGGACTGTCCGAAAGACATTCAATTTTTCTGGGTCTATGGCTTCAATTGCATTGTAAGGGTCCCTAGAAAATCAAGAAAAAAATGAAGTCAAATTTAAAATTAGAGAAAGGAGTGAAAAATATGAGAAATGTGACAGCAATTATTCCACTCAAATTGAACTTTAATTAGCAATGAGGTTGTTGTTGTTTAGTCCCTAAACTGTGTCCAACTCTTTTGTGACACCATGGACTGTAGCCCACCAGGCTCCTCCGTCCATGGGATTTCCCAGCAAGAATAGTGGAGTGAGTTGCCATTTCTTTCTCCAGGGGAACTGGAGAAAGGGATTGAACCCCTTTTTCCTGCATTGGCAAGTGGATTCTTTACCACTGAGTGACCAGCAAAGTCTGATAGGAAGTTTAGCAATGTTTTATCCAGACTTTTCTATGCAAGATGTGGAAGGGGATCAAAATGCACTTTGAGGACATTTTTATGACACAATATAAATTCTTGATTGAAGGCTATTTTAGATACAGAGGAATGGTTAAATTTGACTCTCCTGAAGAAATCTCCACATATCGCAATTTCATTTATTAACCATTTTATTTTGCCTTTAAAAGTCTATTCTCAACTGGGAAAATATACTCTGCAAATAAATTATGTTATGGTGAGAATAACTAACTTTTGGGCTTCTCAAAGCATACTAAAATGCTAACAGAACTTGCAATTTCATAAGAAGGATAAAAACAAATACAGAATGTAAACATTTTTTCCTGTATCTTCACATTGATTATGAGTGCAATCTTGCTCCTATCTGATTTATTTATGTTTACATTCATAAGACAAGAACTATTAGCTTCCATATATATGAATCATACTAACATTTGAAAATAAAATTTACCATAAATTTAATAATACTCAAAAGGTGTGCATTTTGAAGATTTTTTAAAATACCATCTCTTAATGCATATATATATATATTTAAATTAATGTTATTGATAAATAATTGCCTTGTTTTTCCAAAATAAATTTAATATTAGTTGATGGATTTCTTTTAGAAGTTTTTATCTTAGGATAATAGTTTTCATTTAAACATGTTCACCATCCTTACTTAAATATTAAGCCAAATATAAACATAACATCCAACATTTCTCAGTAATTCAAGCACTGCCTTCATATTTTCTTAAGCAACATATAGTAAATTTTTTAGGCTTTATTACTTTAAAAGGTGCTATTCTGTGTTATTCTGGTCAAGTAAAAACCTCATACTAACACATAAAAAAATTAAATTCCATATATTGGTCATTCCTTCAAGAAAGATCAAACTTCTAAAATCGACTAATGAGGCTTTTTAGACGTTTGTATCCATCTTTAGCAATCAGCTGAATTTTATGTTTGCTGTGTATATCTGTTATTTTAGCAGTATCTGAGAACCCTCTTCTTCATGTGGGAATATAACCTAGGATACATGATCCACTGGAGTCTATCAGTCAAGGTGTTCTGCAATCCCCTGACAAATACATAGGCCTGTCTTCCAAGAATTTGAGTCTGAATCCACCGGCTTTTATTTATCCAGTCATTAGAGCCTTTGAAAATTCAGTATTAGTTCAGCAACCTTGATCTCTGAAACTGCCTTGTACTGATTCTCTTAGATTGGTTCATAAACATGTTCCTTTATACTGTGAACAATCCCATATCTTTGAAAAGAAAAAAAAAAAACTATGCTTGATGAAATTACTACTTCCAACTAAAAAAATCAAGTGTAATCTATATACTGTACTATTAGTTTAACATGGCATGTTATAAAAGGCTTGGAAACACTATAAATGAGTTTCTCTGTAGTTCACACATAAAGATTTTCCTTAGAGAGACATGCATTTCAAAAGCTTAAAATATAATTCAAATATTCTGGCAAATTTGCTCTATTTGAAATTGAAGATATACGGAATGAACATGTATGCTTCTGGTGAATATGGGGCCACAAAATTAGGTCATTTTGTGGGAAAACTCTGTTGCTGTAATTTTCTAATATGCAAAGATTTCCATATGCAGGGGAAATGCCAGCTCTGCAGTAGTAGAATGAGCTTTCTACATTTGTTCTTGGAGGTAAAGCAATATACAGAACAGCTCGAGTAATATAATCAAATATTCTCGCTTTACTGAGAAGCACTCAAAGTTCAGGGCAAACATGCAATAATGGGGTCAGTCCAAACTTTTACTGAGAACACATACATGTTGCCAGGGTTGAAATAAATTTTAGACTGTTCACATGAAACCCAGTAGACCACAGAAATTTTATATACTTAATTTTAGAGATTCAGGACTCCCATAAAATAAGTTGACAGAATCCCACTTACCGAGTTCAAAGTAACCTTAGGGAGTTCCATCAAGTCACTTGAAATCCATAGTATTTTAAAATTGAGAACTTTCCTAGCTAAATGTAGGGTCATGAAAACGAACACTGTGTCCACTCTGTGAGTGTGTCTGGTGACCCAGTAAAGCTCAGAATAAAGGGAGAGAAACATATTTTCACAGTTCCATTGAAATCACATTATTTTTTTCACCAAACTCATAATCTGTTTCCCATTATCTATCATCATTACAGTCTATCATCTAAGCACTTTCTTATTAGTGTCAGATTGTGACACAGCATGGGTATGCTTATTTGCTGAGCATTTTATTGCTCTCAGCATATGCACATGAGCATTGTTAGACATGACAAAACATGAAAGGAGATCCTATGATAACCCTGAACACTGAATTTTGCCTGCAGTTCCCATTCTAAATAAGAAAATAAGAGTGCCTACTTTATTTCTAGCCAGGGTGGTATTGTACTATAAAGTGAATATTTCCTTGAACTCTTTCATCATTAACATTTTAATTGACAACTTCACAGTAAATTTATTTTTAGCAAAAATTTGATTTTGAAATGCATAATCTCATTTGATTATGGATTTTTCCTTTCCATTAGTTTGAAGAAATACCCTAGTTATTTTAATCAAATGATACAACCTATCAAAACCTAGTTAGTAGAAGACTAAGGAGCTCATGTGTACAAACATCATAGTGCATCATATTTTGCATGTAAGTCTGTAGTAATGTGGCCTCTATTCAGACAAAAATATTCCAGTGTTCATCTGTTCCTTTGCACTTTATTTCCCATACTTCATGCACAGAGTGACTTCTAATCTTCCCTCCTATGAATCCAAACTTTTATGACAAAAAGTAGCTCATCATTTTCCTATCAATACATATTTTATTAAACATTACTTTTCAAAATTCTTCTTAAAATTACAATTATAATGACTTTATAAAACTATGTTTATAGGTAGAGTACATAGTCTATGACTTTTATTTCAAAATTGAGAAGTATTAAAATGCTTAATATAAAAATGATGGATGTTGGGCCTGATTGTAATGAAAACCACTTGTCTAAATAAATTCAGCTCAGATATGCAGATGACACCACCCTTATGGCAGAAAGTGAAGAAGAACTAAAGAGCCTCTTGATGAAAGTGAAAGAGGAGAGTGAAAAAGTTGGCTTAAAGCTCAACATTCAGAAAACTAAGATCATGGCATCCAGTCCCATCACTTCATGGCAAATAGATCGGTAAACAGTGGCTGACTTTATTATTTTGGGCTTCAAAATCACTGCAGATGGTGATTGCAGCCATGAAATTAAAAGACGCTTACTCCTTGGAAGGGAAGTTATGACCAACCTAGATAGCATATTAAAAAGCAGAGACATTACTTTGTCAACAAAGGTCCGTCTAGTCAAGGCTATGGTTTTTCCAGTGGTCATGTATGGATGTGAGAGTTTGACTATAAAGAAAGCTGAGAACAGAAGAATTGAATGCTTTTGAACTGTGGTGTTGGAGAAGACTCTTGAAAGTCCCTTGGGCTGCAAGAGATCCAACCAGTCCATCCTAAAGGAGATCAGTCCTGGGTGTTCATTGGAAGAACTGATGTTGAAATTGAAACTCCAATACTTTGGCCACCTGATGTGAAGAGCTGACTCATTGGAAAAGACCCTGATGCTGGGAAAGATTGAAGGCAGGAGAAGGGGACGACAGAGGATGAGATGGTTGGATGGCATCACTGACTAGATGGACATGGGTTTGGGTGAACTCCGGGAGTTAGTGATGGACAGGGAGGCCTAGCATGCTGCGGTTCATGGGGTCGCAAAGAGTCGGACACGACTGAGTGACTGAACAGAGCTGAACTGAAAGCAATTCATGAGACTATGTCTTTTAAATATTTCCCCATGCACTTGGACTTGAGGTCCATTCATTTATTAATAATATATCCATGTGGATGCAGTCAGTGTGAATTGATGGGCTGTGTCTTCTTATTTCTCAGAAAACACTGTTAACATAATATGATCTTTCATGCACAGTGATATTTAGTTTTACAAAATACCTAAAATGTGGATATGTTGTTTTACTAAATGATATACATATGTTAAATTATATAGATGAACTTAAATATTGGCCCAGGCCTCTTACTCAATGGAGCCAAGAAAGCAAATATAAAAGTGTAAATGGATATAGAGGGCCAGCGGGGACTATGGTGAATTCAATCAAATGTGTCTCATCTCAAAATGGCTAGTACCACCCAGCTCCAACAGATTGCTGCCAGACAAGAATAGAGTAATCATGTGCATATTTTTTCAAAGAGATTTTAAATCTGGACCTTATTTAAAAAACAAAAAGAAACCAAACACCAACAGCAGCAACAAGAAACACCTTTTGGTATTTCTGACATAGATCTATACTAAAAGTTACATTTTAAAGTAAAGAAATGCTTTATGTACTAAGACCTAAAGTAATTTATTTGAATAGAAAGAAACATTTTGTTCTATTTCTCTTGCTGTTCCTATTTGACATATTCATAATGTGTTAAATTATTTTGCTTCTAGAACTGTTATATGTTTACAGTAGGTCTTTTGAATTGAAATATGTGAGTGATATTCTTTTTCTGTAGCCTTTAGCACTAATATTTAGGGATTAAGTAGTGATATAGACAAATAGATAAAATATAACATAAAAATATTGACATTTTCATTGCAATTGAAAGAATACAAATTTGGTCATTTTTCCCATTAAAACCAGCAGGTGGTTCTAGAATGAAGAAACCTGGAAAATGTTACAATTTTTATTGCTAAAATGAAATTCACTTAATAGATTTCTCACAATAGTACTAAATTCTCAACTCTAAAATGATACAACAGGGCAAAGAAAATACCTGAAAGCTCAGAACTACAACTTACTGACTTTTCTGTGGAATACATTTTTTAAAAATTAATTAATGTCATCTTGAACTAATTGGGTTAGGGATTTGAATGAAATTTCCCACTTTACTCACCGATAACTTTTCCCTAAATACATCTACAAATGTGTCAAACTCACTTAATCTATGGATCTGAGGAGAATATCCTGTAAATATACCTTAGCTTATATATAAATCTTTATTTTCAAATCCAGGTAGTCACCAAATTTATAATCTGGATTATTCTTGCAAAATTTGGTTTACAATTACCACTGGTGAAATCTGACATTGATTTTGCTGGAAAAAAGCATTAATATGTAATGGAGCCCTGTGTTAGAATGAATCAGACTGACAAAACTAAAGAATCTCTTAAACTCTGTGTATATTTTACAATAAAATTTTCTATAAAAATGTAATACTGACCCATGAATACCAGTGACAAGGAAGATCAAATTCCCATTGATTTTGGTGCAGTTTATGAATTTGTCAATGTTACTAGAATCCACGGTCTGAGCTGACATCAACGATCCTGTGCCAATGCCATCACATGCTGTAGAAACAAGTTCAGGGAGTTGAGAAAAATTTTCTTTAGTCAATAAAATAATGCATTTTTATCATAGAATGACAGTACAAAATCAGTACCTTTTGGGCAAATGTCAGTGCAAGGTTTACACATTTTAATCCCATTTTCTTCCACTTCCATCTTGGAACTAGGACAAGCACGCACACAGGAACTGGAATCAACTACAAAATTATCTGATTAAAATGAAAAGAAAAGAAAAAGGTAAGTTTAGCAATAATGTTGATGTTCAGCAACAGAATTTAAGACAAGATATTTTAGGGTTTGAACATTATTACCCTTTGAAAATGATAGTATGTATGTTTCTTTCCCTAAAACAACTCCTTATCTAAACATATCAACCTGAAATAGCATCCATGAGTATCTACATTCAAATTCAAGGGCAGCGTGTGTTAACAACACTTGGTACTTGGCTTGGCTACTGCTCCACATCTGAATTGCCCCCCAAGATCAGTGAATTTCTTTTATAGTCTTAGAAAACTGCATGACATCTAGTTTGCGTTTTTCAATAGTTCCACTTCATTTCATGCCATGATACAAGTTTGAAATCTAAAATTACTTCAAGTTACATGAAGCACAAATGAAGCTGAGGTTAAACTGCCTTGGATGAAGGGAGTGTACTTTATATCACAGGAGGAAATGTTTAAAATATGTTCATCTTTCAATGGAGAGCCGTAGAAATTGTCCCATAGCTTCATATGAAGAAAAAAAGATGAAATTCGAAAGGGCAAAAGTTTAGGAAAGTGAAAGTGTTAGCTGCTCAGTCATGTCCAGATCTTAGGGACCCCATGATTTTAGGAAATGTCTACTAAATAAACCAAGAATGTCTAATCATTTGCCATGGTGAAATGTTTAGAAGTCTGGTGGTCTGGAATATGCCAAACACTCCCTTCCAAAAACAAGGACAAATTATTGCATCTAGAACCTTCTATAATAAATGGAAAACCCAATACCTGCCAGGCTAATTTTGGGTTTTGAAGGCAGCATCCTTCCATGTTTGGAAATACTGCTTCTGGCAGTATTCAGTAGTCTAGAATGCTTCTGACCTTGAAGGGACCCAGAGCAGGAAAGGCATATAGTGCAAGCCTAGGTTGGAGTGTAAGCAATCCTGCTACTTGGATCACAAAACCCACAAAACCCATACATAGTTCTATAATATTAGAATATTATAAAATATTCTAATATATTAATATTATAATATACTTATTCTATAATATTAGAAGCATGTATGGTGGGAAAATATGCCATGTGAAGTTATGGCAAGTTTCAACTGGAAAATCACATCAGAGACCTATAAGAATTATACCCCATTTAATAAATAACTCCTGACATGCTTCTGGGTCATGGTAGAGATGGACTACCTAACCATGGTAGAGATGGACTACCTAACTATGGGTAATTGATTGATCATGTAGTCTGAATTGCCCATCACAAACGATGTTTTGTTAAAAACCATGACATCATAATTTTGATTAGGGCCAATGGCAATCCATTGTAAGACGGAAGCAGTGCATTTGTAATTGATATGAGCTGGGGCACTCATATAGTAAACTGCATAAGTAGGTGTTCCAAACCCCTACATTATCCACTGACCTGGCACCTTTCACTAAGTTTATATCTATGGCTACATGAGGAACCAAGAGAGGGAAAGTATGACAAGAGGACAGAGGGGTACAAAAACTAATCTTGGGATGTAGGTGCAGGCAACTGAAAATGCATGGCACCCGCCCTGCAGCCTCAGTCAGCAGTGGACTGGAAAGAGTGGCAAGTAAAAATCCTACCAAGGGGCATAGTTCTGGGTAGTGCAAAGGATCCTTTACTTTGTATGGAATGAATACAAGTTTAGAATAAATATGACCTGGTGGCTCAGAAGGTAAAGAATCTGACTGCAATGCAAGAGTCCAAGGTCTGATTCCTGGGTCTGGAAGATCCCCTAAAAAAGGGAGTAGCTAGTATTCTTGCCTGTAGAATTCCATGGACAGAGGAGCCTGATGGGCTATAGTCCATGGGGTTGCAAGAATCAGACACAACTGAGCAGCTAACACAATAGCAACAACATGAGCAGTGGCTTGTTCAGAGAGAAGAAATGCTAGAAGATCTGGAATTGTAATTAAAAGCAGACTGGGGTAGAGGGATATATTTGAATCCATGGGAGTGGGTATGAAGTGTGATGATCTTTGTATTCTAAGTTAATATCCACTAGAGAGCATCTGTCACAGAAGAGACACCTTGCTAAGACTGCATCACAGCCTGATCTCACTTCCTTTCCTTCTCTCATGGGTCCTGATCCTGAGAACATTCGTTAACAACCAAAATCTCTGTTGCATGGGAACCCAAACTGTAACAGATGTAATCATCCTTTCTGAAAGTTCTTTAGGAATACCTCTTATATTAAAAGTCCACATTTTTGTAGCAGCTTATGTCAAGTGAAATAAATAAGAAGGATTATAAGTATCTTCATTAAAAGTTCAGGTTTTGAAGTCAAATAAGTTTCAGAAAATATTTATTGTTTAGTTTTTGAATTTCAAAATTCTGGATTAGGAATCATAGACCAGTATTTAGAAGCTAAATATCTTAGTTTCCCATGATAGCTACAGTTTAGCATAGGCAATGTACCTCAAAGTTTTGAATTTTACAGAGATAAATAATGAAGTGCTTTAAATTAGTGTGTAATTGGATAGACCTAAACTAATCCATGAAAGAAAGTTTATGAGTTACTATAACTACGGTAACTGGGAATGTCATTTCAAAAAACAGTCCTTAGATTTTGACCTCTTGTTGTAATTTAGGAGTTGAGAGACTTCAGAGCCACTATAAAGGATATAGTCTAAGAAGGAGGAGGACATTTGTCTAAGAAAAGAAAAAAATTTGTCATCTAGCCTTATTCTATGATAAATACTCTTAAGACCTGTAGTTTGCAAGATAGTAGATAGTAAATATAGGGTAACTTTTAGATGAGAAATTATCAGATCAAAACCATGAGTTTGGTTATAAAATTATTTAACATACAAATGTACATATATGTTTATGCATATATATATGCATATTTATTCTTTTAATCAATATAAAATAATAATAATGGCTGGAATCATTGTTGCTTTTAAAGAGTTGTTTTTATATACTATTCCTATGAAATTTATTCCCTATCACTTTGATATTTATAATATTTTTGGGAAAGAGAGAGGGTACATTTGATTATCCACATTTTAAAGAGGAGAAAAGAGAAAATTAAGTGGTGGTGGTGGATTAGTTGCTAAGATGTGTCTGATTCTTGCGACCCTATGGACTGTAGCCTGCCAGGCTTCTCTATCCATGGGATTCCAGGAAAGAACAATGGGGTGGTGGGTTGCCATTTCCTTCTCCAGAGGATCTTCCCGACCCAGGGATAGAACCCAGGTCTCCTGTATTGCAGGCAGATTCTTTACTGAGTTACAAGGGAGCCTAGAAAATTAAGTAGTTCATTAAAAAATCACACAATGAATAAGTGGCCAAAGCTACAATCAAAGCCATTCTAGTCGCATGTCTCTTACACTTTCTACTCCATCATATGCACAAATCAAAAAAAAATAAATATCTATGTGATGTAGAATGTAAAGTCTCTTTATTTAGTATATGGACAAATGAGGTGGTTTTCTCAAACATCAAAAAAGTAAAACATCAAAGAAATGTCTCAGTGGTCTCTCCAAGTATAGAAAATGACTTGAACAGATATCAAGATATATACTATTGTTCATAAAAACTGAGCTGGTCATTTTGAATCCCCAGGATGAGTTTTCAATTTGGTAAAGATTCCTTAACACGCCCTTTATGTCCATGGTTATTGTTTTAAGATTAGATCTGATGTCAAAACTATTTTATATATTCTATTACAGATAAATAATAATACCACTTTAGGTGAAAATTCATTGCTATTAGAAGAAGACCTTGTTCATTACATAGTTAGCTGCAACTTAATCGTTTTTCTGAGTAACAGCATCATGTGCAAAAATATTGACATATAGTGAAAATAATGAGTTTAGAAGTCAATAAATGACAATGTGTTCTAACCTCAAACATGTTACTCATTTGCTGAGATTATGAACCAATCACTTCAATTTTTTGAATTTTAATTCCTTTATGTGTGAAATAATAATAATATCCATACCAAAGTAATTCATGATATGTCACAAGTTTCAAATTATGATAAGTTTCCATGAAAGTCCTTTGTTTTAAAACAATGAATTAATTAATTTGGCTATTCTTATTTTGTTACTTACGTGGGCACTTCTTGACACAAAATGCTCCATAGGTGTATTTTGCGTTGAAGTTATGTTCCAGTTGAAAGGTAGTGGGATTGTAGACAAAAGTTTGTGGACACTGAGTAACACACGCTCCGCTGTCATTGAAATTCATGCAGGCCTGCAACACAGCGACAATTAGTTTCATTTTTGAAACAACCTTCATAATATTTGTCAAAGGGACACTGTTACAACAGTTGTGTGATAAGGTGTATTAATTGCTTAGCATATATCAATTTCATAAAAAATTGGAAACTTTGACAACTTTTTATTCATCAGGATTTATTTTTTAAGTTAATGTTTGTTTTGTATTTAATTTTAAAGAACTTTTTCCAGCATCACCAAATATACCTTCTATAGTTACTAATGTTCATATTTCTTGGTGTCTCCATTAATTTCTAAACTGGGAATTGATTTAAATTATTAAAGTTAGATTATAGTGAAAATTTATTATTCAAAAGGTTTATGCTGAGTTTTAGAGTCTGACAGTGAAAACTAAATATCCAATTGTATAGGCTAGAGTTTCCTTAAAGCTGGTACTTGACGAATTTGGTAACTCAAGTAACCTTGTAAGTCTGTTCATCACCACTGTATAGTGAGATAACTTTGTGATGGTCATTCAAACTGGACTTAAAAGAAAAGTCTCTGTCAGATGACTAGCCAAGTGTAAATGTAGTGGGGTTAGAAGCCAAAACGTAAGGAAGTAGCTATACTTAGTCCTTAATTGAATAATATGATACCTTTTTCCTATATGGCCATACCTTTTCCTAAAAGTCAAGTTCAAAAAAATTTGTTTCTGCTGATTTATATACTTTTCCTGAGACTTCTATTTGTTAATATGTTCAAATGCATTTGAAAACAATTAAAAACAATTGTACCACCCAGGAGTTAGGTATTTGATATAAAAACCAGATACGTTAAGTAGATAAAATGTACATATATAACTATATAAAACATGTGTTTAGCAAAAGAGGAAATGGACTAATTCTCTTAATTAAACAATTTAAACCTGCATAAGAATACTTTAGGCTTTGGAAGGCAAGCTAATGTGAACTCAAGCTATATTTTACATATCATCATAAATTAGATGTATGGTTATTAATAAGCACTAATTTATTCTGTTTCCTCAAAACATTTTCTTAATCAATTGTTGTTTTAGCAAGCACTTTATCACAAACATGACAATTCCCTGATGATGGTCTATGAGATGCATAATCAGAACAAGACTCACTGATGATACATTATTCACTAAGATGACACTTTCCAGGAAGAATCTATTAAAAACCAATCTAGAAAACTCAGTAAGCTTTAATTTATGGCTATAAAACTTCATGTGTCCTCATAATTGCTTTACTAATATATTTTATACAGTGTTGTGCACAGATTGCTTGACAAAAAAGGGACATAAGCCAGAGAGATCAAACAAGTTTACCTTCCAGACAGCATACAATACAATAACTTACACCAAGGCCTTGTCTGGCATTCTTGAACATTCTCTACCAAATGCCAAAGTGGAATCAGTGGACCATTCCATAAAAGCAATGAAATGAGAATTCTGAAGCTCACTCAGCACTCTACTTATTCTGATAAGGGAACCATGAAAAAAAATTCAGTGAAAAACTTCTAAGTGAAAGTTAAGAGCTATTGTTCATTTTTATTGTGAGTACTGTTTTGGAATTGCTAACACAACCCCTGTCAGCATCTTTCAGATCAAGGTTACATCCCATGTCTGGTGAGAGGTAAGGGAAAGGGTCTCAGTTCAAGATCTGCTGAGCATCTTTTGTACATTTTTAATATTTCCCTCCCCTTCCTTCTTCCTCCCTACTCATTTCTATAATACATGCTTTTGTTTCACTATAAAATTAGGACAGACAAATTAAGATTTTTGTGACATTAAGAGAAGTAAGAAATTACTGTGTTTCTATATCATGAGAGGCATAATCTATGGTTTGCTTGTCCAGAATTAAGTGCCAATTTGAAAAAAAAATATATCCTCAGTTCTAAATACATCTGTGTTTTCTCTGGATATTTGATGTGGAGGAACAAAATATATTGCTGTGTGCATTTTAGCAACAAAAATTGTTTACTATTTTATGATTTTTGGCTTTAAATGAAACTAATGCTCTGTGTGTATGAAACAGCATTAACTGTAACTCAGAATCGCCTGTATATATTCAATGGAATAGAAAGAACTTTATCAGAGATATCAAAAAGTAATTAAAAAGTGGCCCTGACAAGCTGTAAATGTTAATTTTGAGGATGTAAAAGTGTCCTCTTCTAAAATAAAAATTACACAGATTAGCATATAAATTGCTTTTAGCATGCATTTGTAAATCTTATAAATTTTGAATAATATTAGCTTGTAAACAATATAAACTATAAGACAGTTGAATTCATAAATTTATCTGCTTTAATCTTGAATTTATATTTGAGAGATAAAATGCAAGTGCCCCCACTCAGAAGACTCAACTCAGTGATGCAACAACATACACAGGTAATCACAGTAAATTTTGGAAGGATAAGGTTAGCATTTTTAAAAGATATTCAATATGTTCTCCTTTAGGTTATCTAATTGAGTCTCACTTGTAATATAAACTATATCAGAAAGGCATAATACATTTATTCTAGGACAAAACAATCCTAGTTAATCAATAGCCACGCAGTAAGAGAATGACTTTCAGGAAATCACAGCATCTTTCTTAACCCTAAAACAGTAACATCTGATCTTATCGTGCGTGCATGCCAAGTCGCTCCAGTCATGTCTGACTCTGTGATTGTAGCCTTCCAGTTTCCTCTGTCCATGGGGTTCTCCAGGCAAGACTAGTGGAGAGAGTTGCCATGCCCTCCTCCAGGGGATCTTCCCCACCCAGGGACTGAACTCGCATCTCACATCTCCTGCATTGGCAAGTGGGTTCTTTACCACAAGCGATGTTAAAGGTTTGATGGACCTGAGCCAGACTAGGAGGAAAGGGAGGATCAGAAAGTGAAAGGGAGAGCTGCCAGACTCACAAAGCAGTCGGTGTCCTTTGGTCCCGAACAGCCTCCAGCACACTCCCGGTGACAGCAGTCACTCACGTAGGGTCCATAGCATCTGCCATCACACTGTTCTGCACACACAGTCTTTGTCACTGCAGAAGACAGAGACAGCGCCTCATCAAAGTCAGCCGCCAAGAGAAACTTACGGTGATTTGGAGGAGCTGAGAAAAGCTGAGCCCTGGCCTAAGTAGCAATTTGCTCAACCATCATTGACTCGGCTCAGCAAACATTTACTGCGTGAAGTCGGCAATTGATCAAAATTACTATACAAAATCCTTCAAAATTAATACATGAATTTGTTTTTAGATTCATTCATTTTCAAGCAAATACAGTGCTGTACAAAAATCACACAATTTAGCAAGGAAAAAAAATCAAATTTAGAAAAATTGAATGAGAGGCATTCTGGCAGGTTGCTAAAAATGGAGTCGGCAGCAAAGTCTATTTACAATGTGCACTGTGAAGGCCTACAGCAGAAAGTGTCCCCAGAATGAGTCCATGATTTTGGGGAGCCAATACAAAAAATGAAAACATAAACTTTTACATGATTAACATTATACCTTATATCATTCCTATCAGATAGATAGATGATGGGTGATAAATGGATAAGTGACAGACAAATAGGTAGGTAGGTAGGTAGATAGATAAATAGATAGACAGACAAAGATAGGTAGATAACATCTCTGTAGTAGCACAAACGTTTCTGTTCCTGAGATGTAAGTGAAATTTCTACCAAAATTTCTCAAAAAGAGGGCCTTACAAGGGATAGAGAAACATCCTTGAAGAAACAGGAAGGAGGGAGGAAGACATATACATAGTAAACACAACAAAACCTTTCCTTAGTTTTTCTTATAACATTCTTCAATCCTAGTGGACAGCATCATGCTGTCAAGGTTTACTTTAGTAAATCAAGCTATATATGCTGGGTAACAAAATTATGGCATTAAGGGACACATTTCTGCTTATCACCCTTATTCCAAAGAGATATTTTAAAAGTATACAGAGAAATGAATTATACAACGTTATGTGTAACTCATCGTTTCTTGGTTCTGTATTTCTTCAGCCGTGTTTCTTCCCACCTCTCTGAGTTCTTCAAAGCTTCCTTCACTGTTAGTACAGCAAGACATGTTTCCTTAAACTTTAGTGCTCCTCAGAGCTGGTCTTCATATGGATTAAGAGCTCATATACTTGGATATAATCATATATCCTCTATTTTGCATACTATCTCTAGGTAGATGACATTAGATTCAGATCTGAAATCTCTATCAAGATGCAACTTGCATTTCTCATTTTCTGCAAAATTTCCCATTTATATGTACACAACGGAATGCATCCTTTCCCCACCTCTACCATAGAGTGTCTCTCTCTTGTTTGTTCCCTTATCTCAATTTCTGATAACGTCATCCATCCAACACTTCAGCTAAAATTCTGGACATGTATTCTATTTCTACTTTTCCTCTACCCTCACTTTTCACAGCTAATAAAATTCCCAAGTGCTACCAATAGATGTTCTTTGTTACTCTCCCTCCTCTCTACACCAACTTCATTCTGAGATTTACCTCTAAATATTGCATAGCCTTCTAAAAGGTCTCTCAGGTCACAAATAACCCTGTATGCCATGATAAAGGTAATGTCTTGAAAATATAAGCTGTTGCACATAAATCAGTGTCAGTCCTTTCTCTGTATGAACCTTACTTTCCAACTCTGCATTAGAGCTGTAAACCCTTAGCAAGGGATAAAAGTCCTCCAGCAATTGACCACTATTTCTATTTCTACGGGCATCTCTTACTACTCTCAATATGATCTTCACATCCAGACACACAGAAATACCACTTGTGATCCTCAGTTCCTTTCATAGTATGAATTTGTGATTTTTACTGCCTTGTCACAGTATATTCCTTCATGACAAAAAAAAAAAAACAAAAAACAAAAAACTGTCTTCTCTGTCTAGCAAATACTCATCCATATGTCAATTTAATGTTCTGTTTTTGTTCTGAAACCTTTTCAGACACAGCTCCACACTGAGTTAATCTGATGTAGATGCTTTTGAATAACCAAGCAGGTGAAGCTATGAGCTCTGAGGGTCTAGGATCATTCAAACTCAAATTCAAATTTTGTTCTTGTGATATGACACATTATCTCACCACTCTGTATTTCACTTCACCATTTTTAATATGGGATTAGTATGAGTTTCTACGTAATGGACTTGAAGACACAAATAGAGATATAGGTATAATGCCTAATATGACTCCTATTAATAGTACTCAGCAACCATTAGATATTATTATTTCACTTATTGTAACATACTGTATTTATTTTTTCCATGTCTGCTCCCCCAGTAAACTATTAGAGCATTTTATTGAAGTATATCATCTTATTCATGTTTACATTCCTGGTATTTTGTTTGGCAGTTAATAGACACTAAATAAGTATTTCCTCCAAGTAACAAATGTCATATAATGCCAACTCAGAAGTATCTGTTTATTGAATGCATAATGCACTTATTAGAGGAAAAGGAAATATATTGACAGTTAAATGGGTAGGGCACTAAAAATGTAAACAGACAAATGTTAGAATACTAAGAAACATAGTACATCAAAATTAAGATACCTTAGAATTATTGTTTGTATCTATTATTAGACTTAAAGGTGCCTTATATTCTACCATTGATTATTTCATGATTCCATAGATTCACTTGGATCTTTTTCAATTGAGCATGATGATTATATTTATAAACTATATAATTTTTATATTTTTCCATTTGACATTATTATATTCCTCCCTATGTAGTAAACAAACACCAAATAAAGTTTAAACTAAAACAGTAGTTTAACTCATCCTCTCTCCTGTTTTTATTTTGTAAAAATAGTCATGTGATATTTCTTGTAAGTTTAAAGATTTTGAAATATAACAAAATTTCAGATCTCATATATGAGAGCATATTTGATATTTGCAATTTAGATAATTATTTTGAAGTAAGTAATTTCTTCTGTAAATATTCTGGTATAAAATACTACAAAATAAGTCAATTTGACCTGCCCCTAAACCTTCAAGTCTTTGCTCTAATCTCATCTTCTCAATGAAGTCTATCCTTACTTAATACATATCTAAATCCTTTCCAAACCACTGTTGTCTTTCGGACTTTTCTCCTTCTCTCTCTTCCTGTGCTCTTCCCTCCTTCCCCTTCTTCCCCCTTGTATCTCTGTTATAGCATCTATCACCATCTAATATATTTTACAACTCATTTATTACACTTTCTTTGTTTTGTGGCATATTCCAGTGTTAGAACTGTAACTGGCATCCATGTAAATTTTATTTGTATTTATAAACACATTATACATAAACATACATATTGCTGTTGTTCACTCAGTCATGTCCGACTCTGCAATCCCATAGACTACAGCATGCCAGGCTTCCCTGTCCTTCACTATCTCCTGGAGTTTGTTCAAAGTCATGCCCATTGAGTCGGTGATGCCATTCAACCATCTCATTCTCTATTGTCCCCTTCTCCTCCTGCCTTCAATCTTTCCCAGCATCAGGATCTTTACTAATGAGTTGGCTCTTTGCATTAGGTGGCCAAAGTATTGGAGCTTCAGTTTTAGCATCAGTCCTTCCAATGAATAATAAGGTTCCTTTAGGACTGACTGGTTTAATCTCCTTGCAGTCCACAGGATTTGACTCAGATGGTAAAGAATCTGCCTGAAGTGCAGGAGACCCAGGTTCAGTCCCTAGTTTGGGAAGATCGCCTGGAGAAGGGAATGACAACCCACTCCAGTATCCCTGCCTGTAGAAATCTGGGTACAGAGGAGACTGGCTGGCTGCAGTCCTTGGGGTCACAAAGAGTCAGACACAACTGAGCAACTAACAGAACACAATTAGTTTACATATATATTACATATACATTATATATATGAAATATATTCAATGAATTTTATCTTTCAGATTCAACAAGGCTCTTTCAATGTATTGTTGTGTTAGTCGCTCAGTTGTGTCCAACTCTTTGTGATCCCATGGACTGCAGATTGCCAGGCTCTCCTGTCCATGGAATTCTCCAGGTAATACTGGAGTGGTTGCCATTCCCTTCTTGAGGGGACCTCCCCAAGCTAGGGATCAAACCCAGGTCTCCTGCACTAGAGCAGGATTCTTTACCATCTGAGTCACATCTCTTGGACTTTAACGTTTTAAGAGTTGCTAGGTGAAATGGCAGACTCATGCTAAGTGATCATATTACTAGACATGAAATCAGTGTTATCACAGGACTGTCTACTAATGTGCTTTTGGTTGACAGGCATTGCTTAGCTGGAAAATAGCATGACGTGAAACAGCAATCATATTCTATAAATCATGCTGTATTTTAATACTAGACACATATGTCTACATGTTAATTTCCATTTTTTACTCTAAGGTGCTTTAAGCTAACTATATAAAATGTTTCCATTTCTCTTCATTTATATACTTCGGTCTTTCCTACTAAATTAGGAAATTAATGTAGATAACATTTAAGCAAATAATCATAATTGTATTCAGTCATGTCTGACTCTGTGCAACCTCATAGATGGCAGCCCACCAGACTCCTCTGTCCCTGCAAGTCTCCAGGCAAGAATATTGGAGCGGGTTGCCATTTCCTTCTCCATTTTAATACGTTATTTAATAAATGTTCATATAATAATTTATCTCATTATTATATTATTTAAATATAAAAATAATACATTAGAAAAAGAATGAACACAGTACAACCTTGATTGTTGCTGTTTTTCAGTAGCTAAGCCATGTCTGACTCTTTGGAACCCCATAGATTGCAGCACGTCAGGCTCTTCTGTCCTCCATTATCTCCCAGTTTGCTCAAATTCATGTTCATTGAGTGGGTGGGTGATTCCATCTAATCATCTCATCCTCTGCAGCCTCTTCTCCTTTACCTTCCATCTTTCCCTTCAGCGGGGTCTTTTCCAAAGAGTTGACTCTTCACATTATGTGAACAAAGTATTAGAGCTTCAGCTTCAGCATCAGTACTTCAAATGAATATCAGGGATGATTTCCTTTAGAATGGACTGATTTGATGTCCTTTCAGTCCATGGGGGTCTCAAGAGTTTATTCC